TTACTTTTACGAAACTATTTACTTAATAACGAGACCTAGGTAAACTAACCTATCTAGTAGTAAGGTTAGTCTCTTAGAAAATCGTTTTGACAAAAGTTAGTAAAATATAAGTCTACTACTTACAAAAATTAAGGAAAGGTATTGCGAAAATAATAAATTTGTTGAGGAAAATGGGAAAAGAACTGATAATAGTTTTTTTTTCTCTTAAAGTAAATTCTGAAGTTTCCTCATTATTTTTTTTTTTAATTTCTTGCCCACTTGACTATTTAAAAGAAATAGTTGAAGATGGTTTAAAATTATAAACAAGGGATGTGAAAAATTATTTAACTATTTACATATAATGAAAATCAGAAATTTATAATGGTTGTGCGACCTAGGTAACCTAACCTATTTAGTAGTATGGTTAGTCTCCCCACTACTTTTACCTCAGTCCCCCATCCACTTCTCATGAATGAACCTTTGATTTCCGGATGTTCGGAAATCCGCAGCGCACCACCATCAGTACTTCATTCACTACCTTACACGATAATTCGGAACGTCATTAGTGCAATTCCGAATGACCTTGTAGGGTCCGCTTAATATGTGTCTCCCCACACCAGTAGCAGGCACAAGTATGGCCAACAATAAAGGCACAAGTGGGGCCACAATACTTCATAGAGTGACTGAATTCTTGGCAGTTTCGACACTGCACTGGGCCCCGTTTTTGAATTCAAACACTCTGAAGCTTACCTGAGCAATGCCTTTCAGCTTCCGAATGTGGGTTATCTTACATGGTCTTCAGTTATGATTTGTATTAGTTCAGTGAGTCGTGGTGATTCCGTGCCGTATTTTCTGGTGAGTCTTCGGGCCATCTTATTAACGCGGTAGGCGTTCTCTCAGCTCTTCCTCGGTGTATTGTATGGAGAAGTCAATATCAAACCAGCACACGACATATTTTGTTGAAGGCTTTATTCCTTGAGGAGCAAAGCTGTGAAACTGGACGTCATGCTCCTCTCTCAACTCGGGGGTAGCTACGTAGTGGTCCTTTTCGTTATTCAAATATAATTTTTTCTGTTTATATGAGGAATTCACGTAAACTAAGTGATTCCTCGCTCTTTCAAAATGTTTCTTAATGCTGCCTGTGCTATGGGTAGAGATATAATAATAGGCGGTGGTAATATGGGTTCAGGCGGCTGAGTTTCTCTGAGGGCGGCGAATCTGTTAGAAACTTTTTTTTTTTTTTGTCCTCCTACCTGGCCATTTCTGGCATACGGGATTCGGTGACAGTAGGGTAGTGCGCATGGGCTTTGCGCATGCCACTGCCACCAATAAACTCTTTTTCTTTTTTTTTTTACTCTTTATTTGTACATTTCTACATGATTTCGGGATATTTTTAGAGATATAGGCGGTTGCACGCCTTAGGAAGGGACTGCACCTTTTCTTTCTTCTTCTTCTTCCTCCATCGCTTCCTCTACGGCTTCCGGCGGGCGTCCTCTCCCAAGGGTGAAGTGCTCTGGGCCCACCGCCTCCTTCCATCTCCTGACGAACTCAGTGAAGTAGGGGTAGCAGTCCTCGCTCATCAGCCTCGGTCGGTCCGCCTCTCCCATCGTATATAGTCCTGTCATCCTGGACAGCCAGGCTCAGTGCCCAGCCATCTTTTCGCAGTTCAGGACTACATGCTCCTTCGTGTCCGGAATCCCACAAGTGGTGCACAAGGGGTTGATGTCCTTCCCATGCTTATTAAGTTTGGCTCTGAAACCCCCGTGCACCGTAAGGATCTACAATGGCCAGTACACAATGTACAGATCTACAATGGCCCTTCGCCGTAGTCCCTCCGGAAGCGAACCGAATCCGTGTCTTTTGACATCGAACCTGATTAAGGCTTCCTTTAGAATCAGATCGATGGGCATCTCTCCAGCCAATATCTGGACTACCTCGTGCGACACCGTCCTATAAGCCTTAGTGACTCTAGTAGGGCCAGTCTCTGGAAAGTTGACACCTTTCCCCGTTGGTCTTTTGTCAGTCGCCGACTCCACGCAGGCGATGCGTACCTGATTATGCTAAGGACGACACCTTTGTAGATTTTTCTGGTCGCTGGGTACTTCACCCCCCAGAAAGCACTACCTATCCTCGACAGGCCATTTAGCGTGCTGGTCACCCTACCTCTCAGGTACGCGATGTGTGGGATGGGGTCGAATGATCTTCTGAACCTCACCCCGAGGTACGTGACCTCCTCACACTAGCGCACCCTCGTTCCTCCTATGTCTATGTTGATTGGGTGGGCTCGGTTGGTTTTCCCTTTCAACAGCATCGCCTGTGTCTTATCGGCCGCCATCCTCAATTTCCTCTTCTGGCACCACTCCTCCACTAGGATGGCCAGTCCTTCGGCTTCCTCCTTCACTCTGGCACTACTGTTCACCGTTACCAGCACCGCCAGGTCATCCACGTATGCAATGGCTAGGTACCCCTTCTCCTTCATCTCACCAAGCAACTGATCGAAAACTAATTTCCACAGTGCTGGCCCGAGCACCGAGCCTTGCGGGCACCCTCTCTCGACCCCCCTCTCCACCTCGAAGGAGTTACCCCGGATCTTCACTCTCCTATCTTTGAGGTAACTACCCACGAGGAAGTATAGATTGCTGGGGGCATCGTACTCCTGCAGCTTCTGCATCACAACGGGCCACCAGACGCTGTCGAAGGCAGAAGATATGCCGAAGAGCATCAACAACACGTACTTCTCCTCCGCGTCATCGACGTCCCGCTTCATTTGCATCAGCGCATCCGCCGTGCCCTTCTCTTTCGTCGAGCCGAACTGTCTCGGATGACCCGCCACGCGCAGCACCGGTTTCATCCTCTCCATTATCAAGTGCTCCAGGACTTTGCTGATCACTGGGAGGAGGCATATGGGCCTGTAGGCCTTAGGCTGTTCTTTATCTTTACCTCCTCCCTTATACAGCAGTCTGAGGTCCGCTTCCTTCCATTGATACGGAAAGTGCCCTCTGTCTAGGCACAGGTTGCATATAGCAAGAAGCTCGTCCTCTATTTGAGGCGCACTGTTCCTCAAGATCGCTGCATCGATCTCGTCGAGACCCGGAGCCCTTCCTACCTTCTGCTTCTCTATCGCCAGGCGAAGGTCCCATATGTCCCACGGCTCGCACAGGTCTGTTCCGGGAGGATACTCCGTAGTCCTTCTGGTCATCCGATCCTCCTCCGTGTCCAGGGCCGGATCGTCCCTGGGGTACGTGTGTTCCACGTACATGGCCACTGCCTCTTCCAAGGTTTTAGCCTGTCTATCGTCCACTCTCATGACAGTCATGAGTCGGGCTGGCTTCACCTTGTCGAGTGCGACCCTGTACGGTATCCCCAAGGATTTTTCTTGGTTTCCCTTTCAACGAATTCATCCCAGGATGACTTCTTTTGCTGGCGCATCTCCTTGCGATATTCTTTGAGTGTGCACCTGCTTTCCATTCGGAGCACCTCTCTTCCCTCCTCGTTCCTGCAGCCTTGGCACCTCCGTCTAATCCGGTGATATTCGCACTTCAGCGCCGTCAAGGTCGGCGTCCACCACGGCACTGGTCTTTCCCTCACCTTCCTCCTCCGAAGGGAGGCCTCTGCCGCCTCTCCCATCGCGCCTGCCAGCACGTGTATCTTATGCTCGATACTGCGCGCTTCGTCATCTTCTGGTGTTTAGAAACCTTGGTTGGTCTGTTAGAAACCTGTATCTTCGGTGGTTCTTGGGCTGCACGAGGAGGAAATTGGAGATGTTTCGGGACTGTGATGAACCCATCAGCGTCAAGTGTCCTCTTCTCTCCACGTAAGTCATCCGAGTTTTTAGGGATCTCGGTTTCTTCACTCAGATCCATGTTGTCATCCTTTAATAGCGCCATGGATGTCGCCATCTCAGAGATGTAGGGGGAGGTGGGAGGAAACTGGCTTGTCAGCGCCACGCTGCCCTCACTCCGAGGAGTTTCTGTCAAGGTTTGACCCAAGGGATTAGTTTGACCTTGACAGCTTTAAAGGGCTAAACAAGCAAGAAGGATGTTTGCACAGAAGGGATTCACGCTACGAATGTGTTTTCGACAGATCTAGGCCATTCTAGTAGTTTTAATATTATTAAATTATTACCGTGCCGAAAACAAGGGGGAGGGAATGGGGTTTTTGCCGACAATGGGTGTTTTATCCTGAACATTATTTATAGTTTCTTTTTTCTCCAGTTACTCCAAGTAACTTGAGGTAGTTTGTATAAACTAAAAGTAATGTTGTTTTTCACACACTGTTAGTAAAAAGCATAAAGTTAAGTTTTTTCTTTATTACAATCTTTTGCCCACATTTTGTGTTTTTGTTGCAAGTTCTAAGGTTTTTTTTTTTTTTGTTTCAAAGATTTTGATAGCACGAAAATACCGTCTTTTATTAGGACCAGAGACGGGCAAATGCTACTCTGAGTACTGAGTATCAATTATTTTACTTAAATACTGGCCTTTATAGAGTACCAAAGAATTTAATTACTGCTTCAGTTGATATCAAACGATTAATTGAAGTAGTGATTGAATTCCCAATAGTGATTCAATTCGAGTAAAATACTTGGTACTCCATACTCAGGGTAGCATTTGTCCATCTCTGATTACGACTATCATAAAATAAAACTATTCTAGCTGACTAATTAATGTAATATGTGAAATTAAAAATAACAGTTATAAATTCATTTTATGTTGATATGTAAGGAGAAAAACACAATACTGGACTACACAACATGTGATTCTACTCAGGACAATAGAATACAGCAAACCATTATGTAGTAAACAATTCACTGTCTTAATATTACTAGTTTATTTTACTACACTGGTACTTCTTCGGCACAAAGTGGTCGAACCAGATAGTATTCTCGAATAATATTCTCAAAAATAATATTGAAAAAATCCACGATGAATTATTGTTTTAGAAAATAAAACAATATTAATAGATAAATTAGATTTTTTTCATTCTTATGTTTTATAAATCTGGCATCGTCATTGATGATTCAAATCCTAACTACTATGTAACAAATCATAAAAGGTTTTCGACAAATAGTATATAGTAGCCATTTGCCAAACAGTGACGAAGTTAGCTTAATGAAAGCCAAGTTACCTGTGTACAGTTGAATTTTTGTTATAATGTTAATCTGAGCCTGTGTATATAAATATTCAGCCCGATGTTGGACTTAAATTTTTATTTATGTAGTTATTACGCGGCAATAGATAAGTTCCTTCGGGGAAGCATTTCGTGGATACCGAAGAAAGCTTCAAACAAGTTTGAAGCTTTCGAGGCCGTATTCATGGAACTATGAACCTGGACTCGTTGACTTTAACTTTGTCACAAATAAGTTATTTGGTTGTAAATTTAACAAAAAAAAATTATTCTGCTACTGTTCAGGAGATCACTGAGGTTGGTATCTTTAAGATGCCATATTTAAATTTAATAAAGGATCAAATACTAACAAAATATTTTAATTACCAAGATATTTCATCTTTTAAGTTGATAATAAATTCTTCTCATTATTGCAGTAGTTCAGTTCATTTATAAATAAACCTGATGTCCTTATCATTTTTATATTATTAGAATTATATTTGGAGTTTCTTGTTTTAGCTGGTACGTGAATACGGCTTTGAAGCAGATCGTCATTATCTATATAAATTATTCTCTTGTTTTGAAGTTGGATTGACGTCAAAGGAATCATCCCAACTTCAACTACTTTCGGAAGAGATAGCCGCATTGTTGTCAAAGCCTGCTCTTGAATCTTGTATTTGTTTTGCATTTGACCATCTTATTAAGTCTAAGGTATCTTACAGCTTAATTATGTTACTTTTCATTAGAATGAAATTGTACATTTTTGTTTTTATTTATTATTTTGTAATTTTAGGGTCCACGAATAAGTTCCTTGTTGTCTCAATTGTGCAAGGCCTTGAAACTACCTCTTATTCAAGAAGTCATTTTTGGGATTTCTCTTTTGAATTCAGAAAATCCAGATACGCTTAATCAGGCTACTCAATTTTTAAGGATAAAATTGCCAGAACTTATTAGATCATATATCAATTCAGGTTGGTGAACAAGTAGTTTACTGTTTATAGTTCTTATATTTCATAATATGCTTTATTTTGTTTTTATGTAGTTTTCATTTGGTTACTAAGTTTTTCTAATTGTCTGAAATTTTCATTAACTCAATTAAATGAAATCAGTAGTTCAGTAAAGCTCTTGTTTATTGTTTTCATCCCCCATACCCAGTTTGTAATAATATTTGTATTGTTTTCCTTCCTGTTTTGTGAAGGTTTTGAACTGATATTATTGTGTGGATCAACATTTTTCAATCTGTTAATTGTATGGACTAATATTTTAAAATTGTATATTTGAATTTATTTTGTGCAGATACTAATAGTAGTGCTACTGAAGGTGGTCTTCACGACACCACTCCCGAGGTTCTTCACATTATAATCACTCAAGTAATATCAGATTCCTCTGAACAATTAGGTAAAAAATTTTAATCATTAACATTAAGGTGTGTTTAGATATTTCACGAACCATGGGACGAAGAAATATATAAATGGTCATTTCACTATGTTAGTATTTTTGTTCTTGTTTTGATAGTTTCTATCTGCTGTCAGTATCAAGAAAAAAACGGAATAAATAGTTTGGTTTCAGAATAATGTCGTTAATTAAGTTGGGTAATTATTTTTTCCATAGTTTGTGAAATGTCTGAACACACCTGTATAATATAAAAGTTTTATTTATTTAATAATTTGGTCTAAATCATCATCAGTTGATAATTTTAACTCTGTATGATTTTATTTTTACATGTCTATAAATTACATAACTACAAATAGTTGGCATCCCAACCCAAATTCATTGAGCACTAAGTTGATAAAAACTTTTTTTCCCTTATCAGATATTTTTAAAATATATTCATATATATATTGCATAGTAATATAGCACAAATATTTATCGTGTTTATGTGTGTTTACATAAAATATAAATTTTTTAGTATTAGAAGATAAGGGTAAACAAAAAGTTTAATTCAACCTTGATGAGATCAACTGCCGCATGAGATTGCCCTCGTTCTCCCAACTAATTATTGTTGAGTTATACTGTTATAAGTAGCATATAATTTCGTATAAAATTTTACTGAATAGAATGTTTTCAATACATTTATTTCTAGTGTTTCTGTTGTGAAAATTGATATAGAAATGTTTTTTAATTTAATTTCTCAAAACAATTTTAATTATTAATTTATGTACTAATGCTCCTATGTCAAATTGCATAATGGTCTTAAAAATATTGAATTACATATTCTTTTAGTGTTAACAATATATTTTACAATTTTTTTTTCTTCTTTGGGATGGTTTGTTTGAATTGTGTCATTATTGAATCAAGTACTTACTGTATTAAAATGTAAACCAATTAATTGGCGAAAGCTGAAAAATTTATGTTAATTACTAAATTAGTTACATTATTAATTGAATTTTAGTAAATATTTAGACTTACCAATAAATGTATTGTGAATGTTTTCACACTCTGCTGAGAATAATCCTGAAACTAAAAAAAAATTATACTTTACGATCTGTTTTTTCATAGAAGGTAGATCACATGTTTAAATAATTTTTGGAAATGAATTAGAGGATAAAAAATAACCCAGAATTTATAAAAAAGGTTGAGAGTTGAAGCCCATGTTTTTTTATTATTGCTTATGTATCACATTCTAAACATTCAGCGCGCTAATACATAAATATCTGGAATTCTTTTGAATTATCTGCGAGATTGATTTAATGGTAATAAAGGTACTATTTGGCTGGCGCGGTCGACGACAGCGACTGCTATTCCCCCTCGCCAACCGCTGTTGGCGTATCTATTTCGCTGAAACTGCTCACTGGGGTTGTTATAACCTGCCTATAACCTTCGAACATTTCGCTGTATCTTTGAAGATAAAAAGATAGACATAATATAAGAATAAAAATGAACTTCCTATAATAATGAACATCTCTAACTACCGCTTTTTTATTTGAGTTGGAAAAAGAAGAGAAAATGTTGTTCATAAAGAGAAGGAATATCAGTATTTCGATGTGATGCTCATCATCAAAGTTCCTCTGATATTACATATTATTAGTTTGAAAAGTAATAGTAATTAATACATAATTGGTTAGTAATAAATATCATATATTTGTAATTAAATCTCAGCAAGAGATGTTTTATAGTTTTATCAATAGTAATCAGTAAATCACCACTTTAATTAAAAAATACAAATCGTTTTTTCAATGGGTGGATTTTAGTATTTACCTGACGATAAAATTTGTTGGATTCTTTAATTTATTTAATATCGTTTGGATTTAGGTATATTTGTATTTCGCTTTAAAATATTGCTGGTGGAATAAATGAATAAATAATCTTGTTACTTCAACCTCAAAAAAATAATTTACTATTGCATTATTTCAGTTTTAAACAATATTTGTTATAATTTTGCCAGACTTGAAAGAAACATAGGAAATAAAACGTATCGACGGGACTGTTATCATCAAAACAATGCTCTGATATGATAACATAACCTACAACCGCCGAACCGCCAACAGCTCCACTGCTTCAAGAGGAGTCAGATACGAGCAGCTTAGATATGACGTCATACCTAAACTGCCGAGCAGCGCCAGCGAAATAGGTTCCTTTCTATTCCACTAAAGCAGTGGTCAACCGCGAGCAGTCGCGGTCGTGGACCGCGCCAGCGAAATAGTACCTTAATTGTTTTACTTTAGGAAGTATTTATTTTCATCTATATGAAATTATTAATTAATGAAAAAAATGTCATTAACATTATAAGGAACTTATAATTAATAAGGGAAATAATTTATATGAAGAAGGTTTACCAGAAAGTCATAAGTTTTGTGATGGTAAATTTGAAATATGTTCAGAAAGACCTTATTATAGAAATTTTAGTTTTTGACTCTTTTATTTGATTATTTAAAATATGTATATATGAAACAATAGATTACTATTAGGATGACTGGTGGTTCACCTTCTTCCATTCCATAAATCCAATACTTGGTTAAAAAAATAAGTTGGTCATGATAACTAAGACTTATAAGAATTCATTTCTGCTTTATAGTGGATAAAATTGATTCAAATTAAGTTTTCTTTGATATTGAAAAATTTTACTTCACCTTAATTCACCCCACGCTCTTTTAATTAACTGAAAATTTTAAGATTGAGAAGTATAGCAAGAAAACGTGGAAAATGAGGAAAAAGAAAACATCAGAAGAAATTGTATAATATTATGAGTAAATTAGGAAGACTCAGTTAACTTACAAATTATAAATTTCTAATTTTAATTGCATACAATTTACATCAAAACTATTTGTATGTGCTTGTGCAAGCTTGGGTGGATGCGTTGTGTTTGTGAATTTGGTTGTTTGGATATGCTCAAAAAATATCTTGAGATTCTTTGAAATTTTGCCTTCTTAACCAACCACTGATTGTGTCACTGTGGAAATAACTCATTGTTCATGATTCAAGTCAAATTATATATTGTCATAGTCACTTAGCGATTAATTCATGAATTAATATAAATTATATTATCAGAAAATAGTAAAATTTCTTTAGCATGTTTAGTAATCAGTATAGTTAACATTATATCATAACTTGTTAGTCATAAGAAGGCAAACGGATATTTTATTCAAAATAATTTACTGTTAAAATCCAATATTTATGTATTATGTTATTTATTCTGTCATGTGGCTTCATCACTAATAATTGAGTGTCAGCTTATATTTTATTTAAATATTTTTTGTTAAATGATGTAAATTATCGCTAAATGATCCTACTTTAAATATTTTTGTTCCTAGGAGTTACAAGTGAGACAAGAGAAGCATTCTTTCGAAATTTATGTAGGGACTTTCCTAGAGATTTGGTACCCATTGTGGTAGCACCTTTATTATATTTAGACAACTCTGAATTATCAATGGATAAACTTCTTTCTGACTCGATGAACATGTCTCACAATATGGTAAGTTAATTTTTTTATTAATTTGTCCGAAATTCTTGTTTATGGTTATTTTATGTTCATTTTTTGCAGTTACTTATATATATATATATATATATATATATATATATATATATATATATATATATATATATATATATATATATATATATAAATCAAAATAGTCAAAGTAACAAGGTTATATAGGCCAAACGGCCCAATATTTTTGTAGATTACCTTTTTTTATCAATTTTATGATCAAATTATCTCCGATCCAAGTGGAAAGTAAATGGATATTTATAAGTTTTTAGTACCTAATTAAATAAACAAAGGTTGCTGACCTAATAATAACACGAAAGGCTAGAAAACCAAATAAATGGATCAGAGCTAAGACTGATCTTCCAGATATTGTGGATAAAGTGCACATCAGGAAGTGAACCTGGACCGGACATGTAATCAGGAGGAATGATATAACATGGACCAGGTAGTTTATGGATTGGTATCCAAGAGATCACTTGAGAAAGAGAGGATGCCCGCCGACAGACTGGGACAAGGAGATGAAGAAGACCTGCGGTGGAGGAGCCTGGAAGAGTCCCTCCTTCCTTTCATTCCTTTTCTCTGTTGTTAACTCTTTATTATATTATACATTGTCTGTACATCTTGATAGACTTTACAATATCTCAATTTTCTATCTAACTACTCCATTCTCAATGTTTTAATTTTACTATTTATTTTATTTTCATTTCTTATATAACTTTATATTTCTTTTTTATTTTTTTTACATTTCATTCTAAGATTCCCAATGTAACACTTTTGTCACCCCTTTTTGATTATGCCTACTTCATCATTCCACACTATGTAACAGTTTTTATTATTTATCTCTTAGTTCTTAGTCATTATTCTAACAATTTCATTTTACTTTATATCTATCTATTTTATTTTCTAATAATTTTTTTTTTTAATTTTTTTTCTCATTTTTTATTATCTTTTTACCATCATTACTTATGTTTCTCATACCTTGTTATCTGGTTATTTTCTTAGCCCTGATGAAGGCCTGAACTTCAGGTCGAAACGTCAGCATATGTAAAAAATAAATATTATAATTTATTTTTTGCCTTCCTTTTTTGACTGAGCACCCCAACTATTCTTCTCTTCAAGAATTGACTTAATAATTCCCACAACAATAAGAAAACACTTTCATTTTAATCAAATTGAATATATCAGGGTGGCTACCAAACTGTTGAAATAAAATTCCCTGACTTTTCCCTATTTAATGATAGTTTTCCCTGGCCAATATGTCAGGGTTCACAAATGTTAAAAATATAAAGTTCATAATTATACATATATAGTTTTTTACTATAAACTATATATATATATATATATATATATATATATATATATATATATATATATATATATATATATATAGTTTGTAACTAATTCATTTATTATACATTAGTGAAAATTGAGAGATTAGAAAAAAAAAAAAAAAAGGCTGTCCAGTCTTTTAAATAACAAATATAATGTTCTAGAGGAAGAATTTTTTTAACTTGATTAGGATTTTTTATTTTGGAAAACTAAACTTGAAATAATTTATTTTTATCGCCTTTATTTTATTTTCATACAGTGAGATATAATAAAAGTTTATACTTGACACTTTTCTCTATTATAAAATAAAGTGAGCTACCTGCGATTCTTATTTTAAAATAGTTCCTCAGAAACACTTTAGTTTTTTTATTGCCACAAACAAAGTAATAATTATCCATACAATACCAACTGAGAGGCCGGGACACAATTGTTGGCTATAGGAAATTGTTTGAACTAGTAAGGAGGTAAACATACTATATGTTCTCATTCCTAGGTGGTCAGCCAGATATGGGGGAGGAGAGAGGCGCCTAGAAGGTCACTTTTTTTCGGGTTTTCGCTTATATCAGCCAAATCATCCAGAAAAATTTCAATTCCCAAAAGTTCAATCCCCCTCCCCTCAGATCTTAATGAAAATTTGTAACTATTAAGTACGTACACAAGTATAAGTATAAAAAAATTCTTAAACATAATTATAATAACAACATAAATTTTCAAAATAGTGATAAAAATACCTGAAACTATCTGTAGCTAAAATCTCTCCAAATACTCCAATGCAATCTCATATTAATGAAAACAGCATAAGATTCTCTACCAAATGCAAAAATAATGTTATTGGGCTTTTGAGTTTTATTACATTTTAAACTCAATACAGTAAATTGTAATTTACCAGTTACAAATAATAGTGAAGATTGCTTAAATCTCTCTCCAAATATCCTATTGTAACCATATATCACTGAAAAGAGCATAATATTTTCTGTCAGATTATGAAATAATATTTGTGGAATTTTGAGTTAGAAGAGATTTATTATAATATAAATCAAAAAAGTTTTTGCGTGATGCGGAAATGATGTGTTAATGGATATCAAAAAATACCTGTTGCTAAAATCTCTCTCCAAATACTCCAATACAACCATATATTAGTGAAAACAGGTTGAAATGCTCTATTAAATGAAAAAATAATATTAGTGGGATTTTGTGTTTGAAGAGTTAAATTACAATTTAAACCTAAAACGTTAAATTTAATTTATCAGTCATATATACAAGTAAAAATTCTTGTAATCTCTCTCCGAATACAATCATATATTGCTTAAAACATTATGCAATACTTTTCCAAATAATAAAATAACATTGGAGGAGGCCATTGAGTTTAATATTTATTATAATATTAATAAAAAATCTTGGTATTGTGGTGTCGGTATGGTCAACAAAATAATTGTATTTATTAAATTGGAAAGTGAATTGCTCTGTAAGTGTTTAGAGGTAGAGGTCAAAATATATTAAAATTAAATACTAAAGTGATTTTCACCTGAAGTGACGAGTATTAATAACAATCCTAATTTATTTCTATAATTTCTGTAATCTCACCACAGCTGGCTCTGGTCAAGTTAATGTCATTAGTTTTACTCTATGAATATAATATAATATCTTATATGATTGCCTTATTCTCACTTCTATATGCCAAATCTTCTACAGTTATGATAAAACAATAAACTGTTCTGATATAGACTAAAGTACTCGATAAAAAATTCGACTGAAAAAAAAACTAAAGTGTGTGCTTTAGACCATATGGTAGAAGTGAAAACAACAAGAAGGTGAGATTAATAATATGAAATATAAATTATAAATAATAGCCCATTACAAAGAGAATGAAATGCTATACAATTCCCTCGCTTACAGTATGCACGTCCGATTTTTAGTTTCTGAGATATTTCAATCCATATATTCAATAAAACTCGTTATCATTTGGTTTTCGACAATATTTTTTCCCAGTTCGCCCCTCTAATATGAATACAATTTTGAATAATAGCTCATTACAAAGAGGGCTCTGAACACATTTTCACTTCTACCTCTAAACATTTAAGGAGTAATTCACTGTCTAATTTAATAAATGCAATCATTATTTTGCTGACCATGTCGATATCTCAATATGCAAAATTTTTTAAATTAATATTATAATAAATCTCATTAAATTCAATGGCCCTCTCCTATGTTATTTTATTATTTAGAAGAGTATTGCATGCTGTTTCAAGCAATATATGGTTGTATTTGGTGAGAGGAATTTTTACTTGTGTATATAACTGATAAATTAAATTTAATGTTTTAGGTTTAATTTGTAATATAACTCTTCAAACTCAAAATTCTGCTAATGTTATTTTTTCATTTGATAGAGAATTTCAAGCTGTTTTCACTAATGTATGGTTGTATTAGTGTATTCAGAGAGATTTTAGCAACAGATATTTTTTGATATTGATTAACACATCATTTCCACATCACTCAAACATTTATTTGATTTACATTACAATAAATCTCTTATAATTCCAAATACGACTTGCTACCTGGAATGTACGGGGTTTGAATGGAAAGGAGTGCGAACTCGTGGACGAAATTAGAAAGGCCAAAGTGGATATACTTGGCATCACCGAAACGAAGAGGAAAGGAAAAGGCGAACTGAAGATCCAGAACTACACTCTTCTGTACTCGGGGGTCAATGAGAGAGAGAGAGAGTGGAGCAGGGATCATGTATCATAATGATCTTGCATCAGGAATCAAAAGTTGGAAATTTGTGAGCGATCGAATCATGATCCTAAACATTGTTAAGACATCCACTCTTTGATAGTTGCATATGGGCCAAACGATAGTGCAAGAGCAGACAAAAAGGACTCATTTTTCAATTCCCTGCAAAAAGAAATAGACGACTGTGAGGGTAACCCGTAACCCTTGGAGACCTGAATGCTATAATGGGCCGCGATAGTGGAAGATGGTCAAAGTGTTGGGATCTCACAGTGAAGACAATTTAAATGATAATGGGGAACGAATTTTGAATTTATGTGTGGCAAACGACCTGATGGTAAGTAACACCTTCTTCCCTCATAAACATAAACATAAATATACTAGAGAGGAACCCAGCAGGAACGAAAGGTCGACCATCGATTATATACTGATTAAGAGGGAAGAATTCAGAAATGTACAAGATGCCAGAGTGAAGAGGGGCTTCGATATAGGCAGTGACTACTACCTGTTGATGCTCGATAAAGTTTGGAATGACAGTAAAATGAGGAACAGATGTGTAGGTAGTAAGAACAAAACGATTAAATCTTACAGGCTGAAGGAGGATGAAATGGTCCAATAATATCAGAAGGAAGTGGAAAGAATGTCACAAGATATCTACCAATCATGGGGTAGCGATGATATTGAGGAGAGCTGGACAGCATTTAGAAATATCATTCCTGATGCCGCGAGACTCGTCTGTGGTCAGAAGAGCATTGGGTCAAATTTCAAGCGATCTGCTTGGTGGACAGAGGATGTAAAGAGAGCTGTTAAGGAGAAGAAAGCAGCTTGGAAAGACTTCATGAGCCAAAGAACACCCATTGCTCACCAAAAGTACAAAGAAAAGAGAAATGAAACAAAAAGTAAAGTACTTCTAGCCAAGAGGAAATTGTGGGTAGATCTGGGGCACAAACTTGAAGAAAACGCAAAAGAAAACCAAAAACTATTCTTCAAAGCAATCAAAGAAATGTGCAAGGAGAGACCCACCACATTGAAAGGAATTAGGAGCAGAGAGGGGAACATTGTCTGGCGGGATGATGAGATAATGGAGAGGTGGAGAGAGTATTTTAAAGAGCAGCTGGAAGGAACATTGATGAAGAAGAATTGCTGGAATCCATCGCCAAGATGAAACTCGGCAAGTTGGCGGGACTGGACGGAATCACCCTGGAAATGATGAGGTTTATAAGAAGTGAAGGCCAGGAAATGTTTCTCCATCTTGTGAACCTGGTCTGGAAACAGAAGAAGATCCCGAAGGGCTTGGAAATCGCAGTCATAGTGCCAATATATAAGAAGGGAGACAACAGGGACTGCAACAATCATCGAGGTGTTTTGCTCCTTAGTGTTCCCAATAAAATATACTCAAAAATCCTAGAGGCAAAGATCAGAAGCACCGTAGAATCCAAGATTGGAGAGGAGCACTACGGATTCAGGAGTCAAAGAAGCACACAGGATCTAGTTTTCACTAAGCGACAAATCACAGAGAAGATTGTCGAAAGGGGAAAGGAACTCTCAGTGTGCTTTGTAGATCTCTGCAAAGCCTTTGATCGGGTGAGGAAAAAAGATATAATTGAGGCTCTAGTTGAAAAAGGTGTAAATAATGGACTTATAAGGGCCGTAAGCAGTTTATACGGAAATACGAGGAATCTTGTTAGAACAAGAAACTATACCTCTCGAGAGTTCAAAACAACACTGGGCATACGACAGGGTTGTAGTCTGAGCCCACTTCTTTTCGTACTGGTTCTCTATCTGGCGCTGGGAAAAGCAAAGCAGAAGATGCGAATTTTTCAGTTGGGTCACAGTGATATGCAGCCTACTCTATACGCTCTGCTGGCGTTTGCAGATGACCTCGTCATATTGGCCTAGAATGACCATGACCTCCAGAACAACATTAATATCCTAAAGGAAGATTTAAGAAAAATCAATATGGAAATTAACCCTGAGAAGACAAAATGCATGCGCATTGGAAGAAAACCTCACAGGGTTATGAGGGTCGACGGTGAGATTTTAGAGCAGGTGGAAAGTTTCAAATACTTGGGTGCTCAACTCAACAAAAATGGATATATTGATGAAGAGGTAAGGCAGAGAATTAGAGCTGCTGGAAGAATGTTCGGCTCGGTTAGGAAAGGCTTTCTAAACCGAAAAGAGGGGACCAAAGAAACGAAGATGACGGTCTGCAGATCAGTATTCCTTCCTGTACTGACGTATTTTTCAGAGTCCTGGACACTTACTTCGAAACACAGGAGCCAGATCCAGGCTCTAGAGATGCGATATCTGCGAAAGGTGGAGGAAAAGACTAGACGAGACAGAATTCGCAATACTACAATCTGCGCCAATCTCGACACCAAAGCGGTTGAATCCATAATAGAAGAACACAAGTTGAGATGTTTTGGGCACCTTCGTATGAATCGGAACAGAGTCGCAAGAAAGACATATGAGACTCGCGTGCAGAGTAGGAGACCGAGAAAAAGACCCAGAATTTCCTGGGAAGAAGGCGTGCGAGATGCATTCCAGAAGTGAGGTTTAGAATGGAACAGGAGACAAGAGCTGGTACTGGAAAGGTCCATCTGGTCCAAGCTCTACAAGAAGCAACCTCACACTGCATAGGCGGTAAAGAAGAATATGATTATGATGATGATGAGAAATGAATACCAAACAGGTACATGCTGATTTTGAGCCCAAAATGTCTTCCCAACTTCAAAGGTTTAAAAGCCCATAGTTCTGAAACTAATCGTTGGAATGGCTAAAATTTGGTATTTTTATTTACATATATGTTTAAATAATATTTACAAATTTTCATGAAGATCTGAGGGGGGTGGATTACAAATTGAAATTTTTCTGGATGATTTGGCATGGAATGACCCCTGTATATTTATCTATCAATTGAAATTTTTGAATGTTAGTAAAGTAAATATTGCATTTTCCTTCAGATCACTGGAGTTTACAGACTCTGAACGCTGTATAGTTATCCATCTATCTATTCACAATATATAAATTTTCTTTCACTTACCTATATATGCAATATATATTAGGGTAAGTATTATGATCATGAAAAATTTTGAATCTGAGTTTTCAATAGAAATTCACATTTTGAGGTCCTCTGAGTCTAAATAACCAACTATAGAAATGTTCTGTGCGTTTGCGTGCTTGCTCATGTCCGTGCATGTATATGTGTGGACAGCCTAACTAAAAAACGAAAAATCGTACGAAACTGAAATAGCTTATTTAAGGTTTGTATATGCCTGGGGTATTACTGTAACTTTTTCGTCAAAATCGGTAAACCGGAAGTGGTACTTTATGTCATCGATTTAGTACATTTTTACAATTTTCTCAAAAATAGCTCTCAACGATTTTGATTAAACTCATTAGGTCAGTTTATTATTAAGAAATTTTTAATTTAAGTTATGTTTTATCCTCATCGATGCAACCTGACAGGCCAATTTTTCAAAATTCCTTCCTCTAAAGTACTTTTGATTTTTTTATTTGAAATAATTAACCATTTAACATTTGAACTTACTGTAAAAAATAGTAAAATATAGTGAATGAAAAAAAATTTATTTGTTACTAATGGGGAAATAAGGATATGAAAATATATGGTGTAAATTATGTAGGAAGCGCGGCTGTTTAGAGTCAGACCTTTGCCAGTCCTCTCCATTTACATATTATTAGTTTAACTTTTATATATCACTTATCCATAATTTTTTAATAAAGGTTTTCATGCGAAATGTTGAGGATTTACTAATATAAACCTAATAATATGCATCCAGATCCATTTTCCCCACAATCATCAGTATTATTTGATACTATACACAGTGGTAAAAGGAAATGGAAAGTGATACAAATATATAAATTTGACTGATTTGATGGTTGCGAAAAATGTGTTAATTAATTGTTTTAAATATAGTTATGCCATCAGTTTCACTTCGATTACCTATAAGAAAATATCTACCTACTCTAAGGTTTGTAAGTGAAAGTTGTGTGATGCGATCACTGCACCAGATTTTTTATTTTCAGGTCGACCCCAGCTTTGACGACATCCTTGGTGAACTTGGTATTTCATTTACTAGCAGTGTTGAAAAATGCCGAGGACATTTATCTCAACTTGTTGGAAGAGATTTAAAACACTCAGATATGGCTAGAATTCTCATTGTAATGTTGAAATCTAGAGGAGTAGTTGAATATTGGCAAGATACTGATTCTTCTAAAGAAAAGTCACAAGATCCATCACATGTTTCTTCCCCATGGAGTGTTGAAAATCTAGTCCAAGCTGCTAGAGAATTGGTAGGTTGACTGTTTGAAAATTTGTATTTATTATTATTTCTATTTCTGTGTTTAAAATATTTTTATGTTTTTAATTTCATGTTATAGAATCCAAAAATCAATTGGAGTGATGTTTTACTTGAGCTTGACCATTCTGAATTCTTAGTGAAAGACAGACATGGTTTACATTTGATTATTTCAGCAATTAGAACGGGTTTACAAAATCAAGCATTTTTTCCAGACAGATTTCCAGTCGAACACATATACAGACATTGGAAGAACACAGAAGCCCAGGTATAATACATTTATTTCTTTTCATTACTTTTTGACTGTATGATTATAATAGACCTTATTACAATAACAGTGAAGTAAATTACTCATCAACCTAAGGAAATAATGGACATGGAAATTGGTAGCTTCTTAATAGGTTTATATTGTGAGGTTTATATTGATAGGTTTATTATTGTGAGATCATTTTATCAGCAAGAAAGATTATTTGTTCAAAGCAATTGGCAAGTCAGCTGGTCTTGACGAACTAAACCGAACTGCTTTGCACAGTTTTGCGCTTACATTGGCAATGAGTATATTAGAAAATGATATGAAAGGACTGTGGTTTTTACCTTTACAAGAAAGGAGATACTAGGAAATATAATACCCATCGTGATCCAATCCTGTTTAGTGTACCAAAGAAACTCTACTCAAGAACCGTAGAAGCTGAAATAAGAAATATTGTAGATTGCCAGAGCGATATGGATTGAGAAACTCAAGTTGCACATTGGAAGAGAAGTTGAAAATTGGGACTTATTTCACTTCAAGGCAGGTTATAGAAAAGTCCATATAAAAAGAAAAATAGCTCTCTATCTGCTTAGTGCCTCGCACTTTGTGTTAATATCTTATTGTCTTTCAGAAAAGCTCAATTTACTTTTAGATTCCTAAAAAAATCTTTTACAAATGCACTAAACAGGAGAGCTGTTTCCCTTTCTCGATATACCTCTCTATATCCTGCTTCAAAGTGAAGATAGTCCCGATGTGCACCTTCAGCAATTAAAAATAAAGTGGTTTTCACCATAATAAACCTACATCGTCCCTTAATATCATCCAAGCTGCAATTGACCCCCTTTTAGAAGCATCTTGAAATATTCTGTTCATCTATCTACTATACATTCATTTAGCCATATAATGGATACTGGACCTTTTTATCTTTTCCGAGATTTTGGCACTTCCTTTCTTGTTCACTTAATGTATTTCTTGCAATTTTCGGGTTCAATTTCGCGTTTTCCCTCATTTTGAGACCAAATCCAAACAGTTCTGGTTTATTGAAGAACTTATAGCGTCACCCTTTCTATCTTTCTTTGTGCAGAGAGAATAATTCATTCGATATTAAAATTTCCTATTTATTTATGATATAGTCCAATTTCTGCACAAAATAAAGGAAATAAAAATTAATTTTTTAATTAGTGATATATGAGTTTTACTAAACAAACGGGCAGCTATTCATTGTATATAGGTCAGATTAGGTATATATTATTTTAGTCTATAAAACATGTATTAATATGACTCATTTCCTAGGAAGTATATACAATTTAAATTACCTCTAAGAATCAATAAATATACAAAACACAGTGTTTAATTGCAAACGTTAATAAAAAAAAAAAAAATCAAGATATTCAACAAAGTATTTTTTAATTAAGTTTTATTATTATAATTATATCATTTTTACAATTAAAATCTTCTTGAACGACATACGTATAGAATAAAGGAAGTTATATTTAAAAAAATAATAATAATTTTTTTTTTTAATTTTAGACTTTTTTTTACAATTAAATGATTGCATTAATATCTGTTCTTTAATAAAACCAATATAATGTACCAAAAACGTTTTTATATCACTATACCTCAGCCATTTATGAGTACTGAATGGTGTGGTAGAGTGCTGTAGGCACCCATGCCAGTACCGCTTTTCTGCCGCATAAGAGCATTTTCTACTGAACTGCTTCGAAATTTTTAAAAAATAATCAGTGTCTTGGAAAGAGAAATACATTCTCCAGATGTTTTATTTCAGCACGTTTTGCGTTATTGTAGGTCGTTTAATTACAAACGACGCTTGATTTTTAACTTGAAAATCTTTTTGTTAAAAAAATTGTTTTACTGGTGTTTTTCATAACCTAAGCCAATTATTTTTTAATATTTCTTTATGTTTTATTATTCTCTAACTATACAGCTTTAATAAAAGCCCAACTATGAGGAAATTAGGCCAAATGCTGATTCTTAGTGACCAAAAAACTAACTAAAGTCAAAGTCGTCAATCCCCCATGTTTGGACGCCGTTTTTTGGCAGTGCATTCACTTTTTTTTTGTGGGAACATTGGCCTTTTTAAAATAGATAGTTACAAGGAACACAACGATATGCAGTTTAGATGGATGTGGGGGGGGGGATGCATGGTAGGGGGGTCTGGCCCACAGACTATATAGCCAGGGCAGTGGAAGAGACATTAGGAGAAATTATAAATGAAAGAAATAAGGAATGGTTCAATGAAAAATATGCGAAAGCCATTGAAGAGAAAAATCAAGCCAGACAGAAGATCTTAAGAAGGTTGACAAGGCAAAACCAGGAGACCTACAGTATGAAAAAAAAAAGCTGTTGAGATAAAAATGATTTGTAAAAAGCTTCAAAATATAGAAATGTTGAACAATGTGTATGAAAGTGCATAAATTATAGAGGAATAGCCCTATTGGGAGTCCTGTATAAACTGCTTTTTAGTTTAATATTAAAAATCCTGCAAAAATATGCTGAGAAAATTTTAGATGATTACCAGTGTGGTTTTAGAGCTGGCTGTGGTACTACAGATCAAATTTTTGTTATAAGACAAATGATGAAAAATGCTATGTATATGATATTGATCTGCACTTGTTATTCATTGACTACAAGCAGGCATTTGATAGCATCAAGAGATCAGCACTGTTAAGAATGCTATTGAAAAATGGATTGCCACATAAGCTAATTAATTTAATAAGCATGACCATAGAAAATGCCTCATCCTAAGTTGTTATTGAAAATAAAGTTGGTCGATTGTTGAAGTTACAATCTGGAGTGCATCAAGGAGATGTCTTATTGGCAACGCTATTCAATATAGCTCTGCATGCTGCTGTGAAAGATGCAGCTAAAAAAGGGACCATCGTTGATAAGACCTGTCAAATTTGTGCTTACACTCATGAACTGGTGATAGCTGCGCAAAGTGAAGAGGCATTCGAGATCATATACGAAAATGGCAACAAAGTAGGACTTGTGGTCAATGAAAACAAAACCAAATACCTGAAACTGCCCGTGGCAGCAAGTAGAAGATCATGCAGTGAAATTAGAATAAAGAATTTTATGTTCGAAAATGTAACCACATTCGTGTATCTCTGTTCTGCCCTAAATAATGAAAATGTAATCAGCAGAGAAGTAGACAACAGAATAATGGCTGGTCATAGAGCTTACGATGCAAACCTAAAACTTCTCAAGTCTCCATTGTTTTCTAAAACTACAAAATTAAAGCTGTATAAAACGCTTATTAGACCACTAGTCACCTATGAAGTGGAAACCTGGTGTTTATCGCAAGAGAATGGCCATAAACTAAAAGTATTCAAAAGAAAAATAATAAGGATTTCAGTGCTACAGGTGTTAATGGTAAGTGGAAAATCAAAAGCAAATGAAATTGAGGCTATATTAGAACATAACTAACTATATTAAGTCAAGTAGCCTGAGAGAGGCAGGACATGTGGTCGTCAGAATGGATAATGAATGGGTGCAGAGGAAAATATTGGAAGCACACTACAATGGAAAGAGGAAAAGAGAAAGACTGAGAAGTAGATACTGGCCTGTAGCTCCAGGGAGTTAGGGATGTGTGTTTTTGGGTAGTAATTTGTTTAGTTTAGTTTACATACATTTACTTTTAGTATTATTATTTTTCTGTATTATTTATTGTAAATAAAGTGTGAATGTGCCCTTTGAACACTATTATAAATGTCCTTAATTGTGACAGATGATAATATTTCTGAATAAATAAGGTTAAAAAAAAAATCTATAGTAGGTATTTCATCATGCAGTGATATAGATCAGAGGTCTTCAAACTTTTTTTCCTTCAGGCCACATTGAGACCTCCAATAATTCCGTCAGGCGACTTTCAGACCTCTCTTAAGTCCTTTGGACGAAGCATTGTGATGGAAAAAAAAAACTGCTGAATTAATGACACTACTTCAATTGTGAAAAAAGCTTTCTATGTGAAACAGCTCATGCAGTAAATATAGTACTAACTTCTTGTTTGAGTGATTTATTAAATTTCATTTTTTTAAATATTATCCCTTAACAAAAGAAACTTTCGTGTGCGGGATTAGTGGTGCTTACCCCGGATTCAGCTCATGGGCTGTAGTTTAGAGACTCTGATAGAGAAAATGTGCATTTTTTTTTGTTTGTAAATTTTTTTTTTTAGCTGCTAATAATATAAGTTTTGTTCTGATTTCAGGTTTCATTGGTGCAACAAATTTTGAAAAATCCTGATATATTTTGTTTTTCTGATCACCCATTTCATCCAGTTGCTGTAGATATTTTAAAAGCACCACCAGAAACTGAAAATAAAGAAATTGCTTCATGGTAATTTCCATTTATATTTTTCAAATTACAAAACGTAATTCTCATTGTTTTAATGTTAATATTTCATGTTACCTAGGCGATCATTGGATTTGATCGAGCTAGTTGTTTTTATTGCTGAAAGAGGTCATTTTCAAGAAGTTCAAGAAATACTGAAAGTTCCAATCCAGAATTGTCCTGATGTTCTATTCTTAGGATTGCTTCAAACAATTCATCCTCCTCTGGCAACAATTTCTCCAATTCGTCAAGAAATTTTTGCCAATCTTATGCCTTCATTTCTAGCTAATCATCCTAACTCTGCTATTATTTTTCATCATGCTTGGCATACCCAGGTAATTATGCATAAACTTATTTTAATTTGTGGAAGTGGACTTTAATTTAAACCTTATAGAAATATAAACTTGCATAATTAAAATTTGTATTTATTTTTAAGAATATTGCCATAAAACAAATAATTATGCATTCAATGGCTGACTGGTATTTACGAGGTGACAGTGATCAGTCCCGACTTACGCGAATCCTCGACGTAGCCCAGGATCTGAAAGCTTTGTCTTTACTTCTGAATGCTCAGTCATTTCCATTTGTGATTGACTTAGCCTGTCTTGCTTCTCGTCGTGGTTATTTGAAACTGGAAAAATGGCTCACAGATAAAATAAGAGACCATGATGAACCATTTATCACTGCTGTACTTAAATTTTTGCAGGTAAATATTTATTTCTCTTTTATTAACTTGTTATAATATTTAATCATATTTTTATGCTTGATATAAGTAGGCCATAAAGTAATCTTCCCACAAACTTGAAGATAGAGTAATCCTCTTCGGTTCTGTGCATCCTACCACTTCACATTTTATTAAAAATGCTGGATGCAAAGAAATAAGAGCTAGTTTGCTCCAGTCAAGTAGTTAATCAATTAATAAAGAAACCACTTATAAAGGGAAAAGTATAATAGCAATAAATTTCTGAGATCCAAAATTCCTTAATCTTAAAGATAAGCCAAATTCTGCAGGACTTTGCTAAAAGATGGATAGGAATTTTCGCATTTGAGTAAAGAATATTTGAAAAATGATCGTGCTCATTGTTACCTGCATTAAAAATTTTCTGTTCATCACAGGGGTGCATTGATAATGGTAAGTGCATCCTATTGATCCTATTTAATTTTTTGTTCATATGTAGTACTACCACTGTACTCTTGCTGATGACATTTCAATCTTGAAAACCTTGTCTTTTTTTAAATATGAATTTTCAAAAACGCTCAAAGTAGTTTTCGGTGATTTTTGATGTTATATATCACAAAAGGGATATGTTATAACACTTTAACAGAGTCACTTTATTACAGTTGTAGAAATAAATTATTTTGTTATAAAGGAGTGAAAAGTCATTTATTTATTTAGTTGTCCTATAGGCCTCACGATTGAAGTATAACAAACCAGGTGAGTCAATTCATTCAAAGTGTATTTACTCAGTCCCACATTTCATATATATATTCTTATTGTTTCTACTCACTCAATGTCACAAAAGGTATTAGATTCCCGAATTCCCAACAACAGTTAAACACCCTCAAGAAGTCTATATCCAGTGCCGGGGTTTTGTTTTAATAATCACGAGTGTAAATAACCCAGTGTTCCGATATATAAAAGCCGAAGGCTATTCGCTATTCCCACCAGAACAAATCATTTAAAATTAACTTTCAGTAGGTTATTTACAGGTATCGACATATTCTACCTACTCTAACTGCCCCATTTTTGCAGATATCAAAACAAAAGAAATACTAACATTATTATAAGGTTATATTCCAATTTTTTTGTCCTCGCAACATATCTCATAAGTAGTGAGGAAAGTTGTTAAAAAATTTACAACTGTAATATTAAAATTACCATAAAACAAGACATTTATCTCAGTAATACTGTAATTATGAAAAGTGTCTCAACTTTAATTTTTTTTCATAGGTAGACTCAATCGGCTTCAGAGTTATATTGTATCAATATGTCTGGGAATCGCTAATAACTAATAGAACCAGTTGAGTCTCAATGATCAAATTCATATCACTCATTGCTATCAATAAGAGCTATAAACTGTATAAATTTCATAATTTTTCACTCAGTCCCTTTTGTGATATATAACATCAAATATTGACGAAAATGACTTCAGATCGTTTTTTGAAATTTCATCAGCAAGAAGTACAGTGATAGTACTACATATGAACAAAAAATTAAAGTTCAGTCTCTTTTCCTTCAACATTTTTGCAGTCCTAAAAGTCACTTTTTTTGTCTATTTTCATGATTTTTTTAAACCGCTTTCGTTCCTTTTTAGGTGATGTATTGTTCAACATAATGTAGAAAAAATATTCTAAATTATTTCGGTTTTTATTTTGGCTCGATATCTTCAAAATAATCAGAGTTACAGCCATTTTCCCAAAACATGTTTCAGTTGAAAAGAAAATTAAACATGAGCGCCAAGAGTAATACTATGAGATTCTTTAATTTTTTAAATACGATTTTGAAATAAAAAATGTCAAGCAACAAAATTAATTCAAATTGGGTGATTTAAAATGGATTGACCCTATATACTGCTTTTTTTTTTTTTTCAGAAACGTGTCCCTCATATCAGTGGATTAGTAAAAGAAGACAGTATCCCCAAAGCTTCCCAGTTCCATCATGAAACTCTCAGTACAATCCTACTTTGTTTGCAGACTTGTGCTGGGTATGTATTTTGATGGGTTTATAATTATATGTTTTAATATTGTAAAAATTAATATTGACTAACTTTTATTCCCTTTAGACTAGTCTACTTTTTATTTTTTATTTTCAGCAATGAATCTTAATAATTAACTTTTAAATCTTAATAGAATCTTAATAGAAAAAATAAATTTTAACTTCTTCAAAATATGAAGTTTTTCGTTCAAGGATTCGAGGAATAAAAAAAAGCTGACTTTCTGTTCTATATGGTATTTCTCTGCTACCATTGGGCTAATTTTTCTTTAGATTTTGCACCTAAGCCACTGTTCACCCCATAATGATCTTCAAAACAGTACATTACCATGACTGCAACATATTTATAATTACTAGTGTTCGTCCAGTGGTCGAAATTTGACCATAGCCATTAAACTTTTGAGGAAAACATAATTAAATAAAAAATGAATTCAATAAATTAAGAGTAATTCACAATTCAAAATCCTCATTTATTAATATAAACAAAATTTCAATTTCAATTAAAAATCGAGCTTAAACTACTTAAATATTTATCATATTTTAACTATTGACTTGTCTCACACGAGCTCATTACCGCGTTAGGGGAGCATCCCACGGGTGGCGGATGTGGGGATGGTCAGTGGAAATTCTTTATAAGCTCCTGCCGGCTAAGTCCGATGGACTCACTGACCAACAATGAGAGCGGCCCTCCAGACCTGCTGGAGGCAGGGTCCCACCAGACTTGCTGGAGGCAAGGGCCCACCAGACTTGTTGCAGGCAGGGGCCCACCAGACTTGCTGGAGGGTGTGACGTAGGATTGAACGCCCTACTCACATATCTTTAGTTCACCATACACCACAAATAGTCATGGATCTCCCTAAGGTAAAACGCTCATTATCCGGAGGTAAACTAGTCCCCCGTTCGGGTCTCCGGGTGGGGACTGCTTTAGGGGATTCATGGCGCAAGTTGAAATATAGAGATTTAAATATCGGTACATGGAACGTAAGGAGTTTAAAAACAGCAGGGGGGTTAAAATCTGTCATGAATGAGGTTAATGGGTTCAATTTGGATGTTGTGGCTCTGCCAGAGGTTCGCTGGCCAGGGGAAGGCTCGATGAGGGAAGGAAAGTACACTATTTGGTACGGAGGAAGCGGGAATCCATCATCTGTTGTGATAGAATTTCTGTAGCTATATTTCTGAGACGTTGGTTTAAAATCACATTAATAAACATACATTGTCCGACCGAAGACAGTGATGATGAAGTCATCAAATACGAATTTTACGATAAACTCGAATGGGTTTATGATATACTAAACTCCATGAAAATAATTGTAGGTGATGCAAACGCAAAGATGGGAAGGAAGAAGTTTATGTTCAGACTATTGGTAAAGAAAGTTTGCACGAATATAGTAATGATAATGGGATCCGTCTGATAAACTTTGCCATCTCGAAAAAACAGATAATTAAAAGTACTTCGTTTAAATATAAGGATATTCATAAATATACTTGGACATCACCCGATTCGCAAACATGAAATCAAATCGATCATGTCTTGATACAACATAGCTGGCAAAGCAGTATAATTAATATACGGTCTTATCGCGGAGCAGAATGTGGGTCGGATCATGTTCCAAGTCTGTCAGGGATATTGTCATAATAATTCTACTTTAAGAGCTGGTGATAATTTATTGCTGTAGACTGTAAAATTAGAGGAGTTAATGGATTAAAGAAGTGAATATGTAAAATTGATTGCTTTATTTTATTACATGTAATTTTATACGGAGGTTAAATATAGGTGGGTTGGGATACTTGCACTTTCTCTTTTCTTCTATTTGCCAGTCTTTCTGTTCATCTTCTCTCTCTTCCTTTCTTAGCCCCTTGCCGGCCGATGTAGTTTTTTACTCCATATTCATCAAAGCAGTGGAATTACGAATATTCATACTGGCCAGTCTAGTTAATCTGTCACGCTACGTGAGCGTTTACACTTCAGTAATGGCGGCGTCACAATAACAACCGAGGTGTATATGCAGTATGCTCGAGATAACAGCTGTGTTGTGTTTACTTGATTTAATTTAAACTAAATTTAAATATGAAGTTTAATGTGTTCCCTAAACAACCATTAAATGGTGCACTCGTTAATGCTACTCTTGCCCCAGATGCAACTCTTAATGCTTAATAGCAACTCTTGAATGATGTTTTTGGCCAACTGAACCTCATTCCAGCCTAGTTTAAACCCATATAACAAAATTATACAAAAATCATGTGTTAACATCTTAGTAAAGAGTGAATTATCTCTAAACAAGGAAATGCTACAGAGGTAAACAAACATAATCGTTTGGAAGAGGATTAATAAGTGTTGACATTCATACAAATGAATAATCCAGTAAATATTAAGATTAGTTATATAGAGGAGTATTTTAAAGAAAATTCTGCATTATTTTCCAGACAACTCAATAAAACTACGCAGTAAAAATGTTCCTTCAATACTTTTGACACACACATATATATTAAAAATAATTTTTTTTAGGTTGTTTTGAATATCATCAAAAAACTTAATTTAGAAATCTATTTTTAATGAGTTACAATGAATAGGTTATCTAGTTCTCCCCTAGCTTTAAAAGAAACTCTTTTATAATACGTGTCATTACTTGTCTCATTCTTAAACAATATATCATGATTTGATTCAATAATACTATTGATCTAGAAACAGTACTCATTACAAGGTATGGAACCCATGACTGTTTAAGAGTTGTAGTGGCACAAGTTTTCATGGTATCACAAAATAAACCTGCTCACATACTAGTTTAGAGTAGGGGTCTCCAAACTGCGGCCCATAGGCCATATCCGGTCTGCCAATACTTCTTTGATTATATGGTAAAATTTTAAAAATAGAAACTTTAGTAAATCATTCAAACACAGGGTTTTTTTTTTTATTTTTATATTTTTTTTTTGTGGGAAGAATGCACCACGGCCATGAAGGCCTATTGTCCACCTCTATTAAAGTCACTCCTATTAGAGCGTAATTCCTGAAATTTCAATAAACTGAAGTAAGCTTAATGGGTTGACAAACATGAGGTTACTACAACATTTATTGCTCGAGTCGTTTTTCTTTAAATGATGAATGATGAATCACAACTGATAAGTCATTTATAGAACAAACTTTTTTTTTAAACCACAATCCATGGCTCGCAGGACTTATTGGATATCTCAATACGGTCTGCAGACTTAGTGGAGGTCTCAATGTGATCGACGGGCCAAAACATTGTGAGACCTCTGGTTTAAAGGAAATACTTATCCAACTCAGTACAGAAAGGAGGAATTTCATTTGTTTTGTGTAAAGTATAATTTTCTTAGTGCTTTCTTTCAAAATGCTGAAATAATAATAGTGAATCTTTAAATTAATTTCTCGGGAAGTAGTTGTTTACATTTGTTTAATTTTTTTCTATGTGTGAAAGGAGAGGTTTTCAAAAACATTGAATTATTAGTGTTTTTTATTTTCGATATTGAGGTTTATAATTGTTAGAGGTACTCTTTTATTGTTATTCATAAGCCTTGCTCCTTGTCAAAACCATTTTCCCTTAAAACCCATAAAAATATATGAACAAAAGTAATGAACTGGTCCCTGGAGCATTATCGATACTAAATCCCTCACTAAGATATTGATCATGTGTGATAGTCCTTGGATTGTATTCTGTGAACTCCAGTCATAATTATTTAGTGTGTCCATTGTTGATATGTTTATTACATATTTTTAACTAGATGAAGTAAATATAAAGTACTTAAAACCTACAATTATATCATTTTGCTAAAGTTATACTCATAACTACTTTTGAGTTATAAGTTTCCTACTAGAAATTCACGTGGTTATAACATATTAATTATCAATAAGTTGATTTATTTGAGAAAGGTCACAGTAATGAATTTATTATTCAAATTTTAATCATGATTTTTAGGAGTGTTTCACAAGAAATGGCAGAGGCTATTCATAGTGTAATAGCTGCATGTGGAATGATAAAAGCTAGGACTGCTCCACCAGGAGTTCTGAGAACGCACCGTGCTCTGGACAGTTTTACACCATCATCTGTTTTTTCAAGCCAAGTGGATTCTCTAAATTCTGGTATCACTGGAATGTCACTCGCTACAACGTCATCTGCCTTTACTCTTCCTGCTGGTAAAAGATGTAGATAAATTTTGTGATAATTTTAGGAATTTTACATATGAATGTTCATTCTTACTCTAAATGTTGGTTTACTTAGTCGATCATAAGGATTTAAAATTACAACTGTTAATATAATTGTCATTTTAATTATTAAGTTTTGTTTCTTACATTTCAAATAACAAATAGAATGTTTTATAATTTACTCATCATATCATGTAGCAGAGATTACCAGTACAGATTGATTTATTATTGTATTTGTGGAAAAATGTCATTAGTCCAAAATGGTACGAAACAAAATCATGAAAATGTCTGGAAATTCAGTTACTAATATTGGAAGACATCTTGTATGAGTTAAAAGCTACATTTTTAATTGTCATTCTTCATTATCATAGGTTTGGGGCAACTTGTTTCTAATCCTGGTTCACCATCCAGACTCATCGCTGCCTCTCAATCTCCAGCATTTCCAATTATGCCTCTTGGAGCTCCGGGGCCTTCTATAGTGCCTCAGGTTGGAATTCCTGCTGCTATGGCTCGGCTACAACTTACTCAACAACAGCCCATTGAAAAAACTAGAATCTGTGAGTTGATCTGTTATATGTACATTTTTCTTGGTGCTTAGAATTAACTTCTAAAGCACGTATAATTTAGAATGTTTTTTAAACAATGGTTTGTATGATTTATATTCTCATTGAGAATTGAGAAATAATTGGAATGTAATAATGGACAATGAGGGCTTAACTGTTTCATTGACTGTGAGTGCCATGGATCAAATTGATGTCATTGATACATCTAATATTCTATTTAATAATTAATACATTTATGAATGAAATAAAAAATAAAATTTAAGTTTAGATTATCTATTAATATAAAATAATGTATAATGTTCTGCTTATTAAGAATGTCTTTACGGTTGCTCCAAACTTATACTGCTCCCTCAATTGAAGATGGTCATCATCTGGTCTATGCTTTTCTAAACATTATATACATGTTACCACTACAGCTTTACAGAAACGACAGACCGATGCATTCTTGCCAATGGCCGAGAGACGACTGAGGTGAGGCACGGGAGTGGAGGTTGCGTCCTTCCCTCTACGATTTCTATCCAACGTATTTTTTTAATGTGATTACTTGATTATTAAAAATCTTTATATTCGGATGATCTCTAATCTAAAAAATATTTAAAACTTGTTTTTAAAAAAAAATGTTTATAACTAACAAAATTATAATAAGTGTGTCCACAACTATATATATATATATATATATATATATATATATATATATATATATATATATATATATATATATATGTATATGTATACATATATGTATTGTAATGTCAACATCACATGGCATTTAAATAGTGGTGCGAAAGTGGTAACAGCACGAACTATGGGGAGAGTGCGTGCGGATGGTGGGGAAAGCAAGCCTCATGGAACTCAGAATGTGACGGGCCGCCAAGAGAGAAGGTGATAGCGGCCAAGAGGGAAGGTTATGAGCCGCCAAGAGAGGTGACAAGCTGTCAAGAGAGAAGGTGACGAGCTGCCGAGTGAGAAGTTGCCAACCAGCAAGCTGAGAAAGTGAAAAAGGAGTCCTAGCCGGTTCGAGTGTTGATAAAGGCCACTAGTGGAGATTATTTTATGTTGGAAGAAAAAACAAGGCTAAAGATACGTCTCCTTGTACTAGTACCCTGCATTTAGGATCATTTGTACACGCCTTCGTCAACCTCACTAATTTCCCGGGAACACCCAGCTCAGTCATGATCTTCCAGAGACAGTTTCTGTCAACGGAGTCATAGGCTGATTTGAAATCAACAAATAATGCGTGTACGTCCTGATCTATTTCCCATCGTTTTTCAAGTACTTGTTTCAGGACGATACACAGAGACAGAGAGAGAGAGATTTTGGCCTCCCATGTGGTCTCTTGCCTACTGCTCTGGCATTCATTGTCTTGAATAGGCATCCTGATGGATTACTACGAGCTACATGCCCTGCCCATCTTAACCTCCTTGCCTTCATGTCATGAGATATTGACTGACCTGTTTCTTTCAGTACTTCTTTATTGTTCCTTCTCCTCCATGTGTTAAGGTTCTGGTCCCATATAGGTCCTGTTATCCTATGTAGAACTTTTCTTTCGAACCTCTCAATTCTGGCTTCTAAAGGACTTATGGATCTAGTGGACTTACCCTGTTAGAGCCCAGGTTTCACAACCGTACAGCAGAACTGGCTTAATACACCCTTATTTTGAGATTTCTGGAGATTTTTTTGATTTCAGTACCTTTGAAAGAGAGAAGAAAGATCTGTTCGCACTTGTTATTCGCTGGTCTATCTCTGTTAATTGATCATTTATTGAGGTTATTGTGGAGCCGAGGTATTTGAATCTGTCTACTTTTGGGAATGACTTAGAATCCACGCAGATCATGCTATTAGGGTTGATGTTTCGGCTAACTATCATGTATTTTATTTTATCTACATTGACCTGTAGTCCGATTTGCTCTGCTTCTTTTAATAGAGTACGAGGGAGTCTCTCAATATCCTCTTGATTACTTCCGAGGAAAGCTATATCATCGGCATATGCTAGGATTTTATGTTTCGTTCCAACGTGCACCCCTCCATCTTCACATGATGTTATTCTTATTACTTTCTCTAGTGCTAAGTTGAACAGCATCGGCGAGAGTCCATCTCCCTGCCTCAAACCCGTTCAAACTTTAAAGGCTTTAGATACGTCTCCTTGTACTAGTACCCTGCATTTAGGATCATTTGTACACGCCTTCGTCAACCTCACTAATTTCCCGGGAACACCCAGCTCAGTCATGATCTTCCAGAGACAGTTTCTGTCAACGGAGTCATAGGCTGATTTGAAATCAACAAATAATGCGTGTACGTCCTGATCTATTTCCCATCGTTTTTCAAGTACTTGTTTCAGGACGAATATCTGATCTAGCGTACTCCTCCCTCTCCTGAATCCTGTTTAATGGTCACCTATTATGTTTTCATAATTGCCACATTCATACATGGAGCCTTTCTTAAGGATAGGACAGATCAACCCCGTGTTGTGTTCCATGCTTCTGGTATCCATTCCTTCTCCCATATCTTCTGGATTAAATCTAACAGCTTGTCTCTGAGTTCTTCTCCCCCATGCTTGAACAATTCTGATGGTAGGTTGTCTATTCCTTGAGCCTTTGTTGTTTTAAGCCTACCGATAGCGATTTCTACATCCAGAATATCTGGGTTTTCAACCTCAAGTCCTCAGTGTGGTCCATGTCTTCTTTGTTTGTGGGGTGCCCTTGGTTAAGTAGCTGCTGGAAGTGTTCCTTCCATAATCTTATGATCTTTTCTTTTGATGCCGTCAATTTGCCATCTTTCCCTCGCATTTGTGTATTTCTCGCTTTATATCCTACCCTTTCTTTCGTGATATCTGCGAAGAATTCGCTTTTAGTTCCAGCTTGCCAGTTTTCCTCAATAGTTTGTAATCTTTCTTTGAGGAATTCTCTTTTGGCTGTTCTTATTATTTTGTTCGTCTTTTTTCTGGTGGCTGTGTATTTGTCCAGCATAGCTTGGTCAGTTTGTAAGCAGAGGACTTTTCTTCTTACTTTTCTTCTTTCCTCCACCGCCTTTTCACATGCTTCTGTGAACCATTTCTTGGCTTTTCTTTTTTCCTGAATCCCTATTACTTTCTTAGCTGTTTGTTTTAGCCCTGACTCTAATGCCTCCCAGTGTTGGTCAATCGTGAGACCTTCGAGTTCAAGGGTTCGAATTTTATCTTTCAGCTCAATTTGAAATTCAGCTTGTACTATAGGGTTTTTCAAATTACGGGCTTAGTACCTGTCTTTCCACTTGGTTTCCAATTCGGTGAATTCGCTTCAGCCTCTGAAAGAGTTTGATTCTAATCAGAGTATGGTCCGAATCACAGTCTGCTCCACGATAACTCCTTATGTCTTGTATGGAGCTTTGATGCCTCTTGTCTATCAGAACATGTTCAATTTGGCTTTTTGTTCCTTTAGGATTTACCCAGGTATACTTATGTGCAGGAACATTGCACTGCTTACTACTAGACCTTTAGCTTCTGCCAGACTAATACTTCTCACTCCATTGTCATTGCTAGTTTCGTGGAAACTTTGGCCTCCGATGATGGGCTTAAATTGGGTTTCTCGGCCTATCTTGGCATTGATGTCTCCCATGACTAATTTTATGTCATGTTTTGGAGCCTGGTCTACAACTGTTTCTAACTGATCGTAGAAATCGTCACCTCATTCTCTTTTTCTTCGGTTGGTGCATACATGTTAATAATCATGATATTAAACCAACGACCTTACGTGCAGCACACTTATCCTTTCATTAACTGAGGGGAAGTTTATTACCAACTTCCTTGCGGCCGGATTAACTATAAATCCAGTGCCAGCTGTCCCATTTTTGTCGTTTCTCCCTGTGTAGAACAGTGTGTAGCCGTCTATACTGGTTTACCCACCATCTGGCCACCTTACCTCTTGAATAGCTGTTAACGATATGTTGTACCTTTTTACTTCATTAACTACCGTTTGAGCGGCTCCTGGTCTGTAAAAGCTCCGAACATTCCATGATCCGATATGGAGTCCGTTATACAAAGCCGGAGTCGTTACCATGTCAAGACAGTCAGATTTTCCGAGGATAGTTTTAGGTTTCTTGTTAGGTTAATTAGTTAATTCAGGGTGGCGACCGACCTGGAAAAGTCATGGAATTTTCAAAACCTGGAAAAGTCAGGGAGAAGTCAACGGAAAATTGTTAAAGTGAGGGAATATTTTAAATTCGAAAATATTCTTTTTAAATTGGAATTAATACACAGTGGATTAAGATAACGACCTTAAGAGACCTGGTAAATTTCGTTGTTATAACGTATAATTGTTATAGACGACCGGACCATCTTCATATTTATATCTTTATATAACCTATATCTATCCACTTGTCACTGTCAATAACGGTCCTGGCCATTATATTGGAATTAAACAAGGGTAATGAATAAAATGTAAGCAAAATAAGGTTAAAACAGTGCTTTTTAAAAAAGAAAAATATAACAATACTATTTACTATCTGTAAATACACATTTATTTGTTGGTTAACTAAAGGAGAACGTTAGTAGCTTCATAATTCATGCTTAGGTAGAGTCGTAATATGTGAATGAGCAAAATGTTGTTGGACCGCTCGGACTGTAAAACGCATTTTGGTCCTTAATTGAGTAATGATTGTTATGCATATCAAGAGAATATATAAAAGCTATGTAATATGTTTATACATCCTAGTTCTATTATAAAATTGGTAAATTAGCCCCAAAATAAAGCATTGAAAACATAAAAAGTTCTTTGTTTGTGAACGACAGATACTACAAGGAAGGGAAATACGACTTCGATTCTCTGAGCTAATTTCGAGATAATTTCGATAAAATGCACAGTTTCGGAATAATGTCCAAAAAACTAAAAAAAGTTCCTAAATTTTGAAATGTTTGCATATATCTCAATATGCAATGGGATATTTCGTTGGAGAACGTCAAATTCAGATCAGTATTCCAAAAAACATAAGAAATCAAATAGAAACCGACTATTTGATTTTTTTTTTTCAACCATCTACTATCGGACTGCCCTAATGTGATCACTTTGACGTCGTTGGTCAAGGTGCATTCTTATAGGAACATATTCTTTACGTCATATCAAAATTTCAGCTGTCAGTTTTTCTGTTAAATTTACCGTCAAATTTCGCATCGTTAATTTAAATTTTCTTATAGAAAGCAAGTTTTCAACTGACTGAACCAAGTTGTGTGTTTAGATGAGGTTTATCTAGAATTTAAAATGGTTACCAGCTATCAGTCCTTCCTTTTAATAAAATTGTCGGTAGCTCCTTGTCTAATAGCGGAATATTGAGAAGAACCGATTTTGTCGTGAGTAGATATGTAGTCGTTGTTTTTTGGATATAACTGATTCAGCATGTCCTCGATTCGATTCGTCATTTTTTCAAATTGTAAGATTTATGTTGAATTCTTGAACCAAGATATTATTAGGCTCTTCAGTCTCCAGTCGGCAACATGTATAGACTTTTTCTTATATCTAGAACTTTTGCTCTTCGTTATTCTTATTATACTACTTAAGAGAAATATGAATTTAACACTAACAGTGGGAATGCATTTGGCCCTATAAATGTGATTCTTACATACAGAACGAATGAAATAAAATATTTCCTCGGTAAGTGAGATGTAAACATGAAGGTTTTTAGGAGTTTAAATGTCACCATATACGATAATTTTTTCTAAAAACTCTTAAGAAATCGAGTCAGTAAATCCAATCGTTATATCCATTCAAAATCAAACTTGCTAATTAAATTAACTAACTTAATGAACTTGAAAATATTTGCGAGCTGTAGAGAAACTATAATAGATGCCAGTTGCCTGGGGTATGTTTGGTAGCAGAAGACCAATATTATATCTACAAATATTTTCTATAAATCTGCAAATCTTTAAATGTCTTTGCAATCTGCAATGGCCAGTAAGTATTCTGATACTTGATCGGAGTTCATTTCTGTTCAGACCAAGCAACCACATGTGGTTCAAGAATGAAAGAGTTTTTTGATAAATTGCTTGGCTTGTCTGAGACCTTCACATATCATCGATATCTTACCTGCTTCACTCCATGGCCAATCAACGACTCCTTCAGCTACTGATACCGATATAATCAAATTTGATCCATTAGTTTTTGTTTTATTTAGTTCAGGCTTCTGTTACTACAACTGCACTCATTTATAATTTGAATTAAATTTATTTTCAGTTCCAAAAGACATAGAAGATGAAGCTAATAGTTATTTTCAAAGGATTTACAACCATCCACCGCATCCTACTATATCCATTGATGAAGTTTTAGATATGCTAAAAAAGTTCATGGAATCTCCAAAGCAAAGAGAGCGGGTATGCATTCCTTCTTAAATTCATTCATCCAATTATTTGCTTTTGTTTTGTTTAGTAAAAGAAAAAACTTAAGTTAGTGTTATATTAAATAAAACATCATTTCTAATATTATGTATCTATAACTTAATAATCAATAATATTAGTAGATACAGGAAGTAGGTGTATGTGATAAGTTGATTATGAAATAGTTTGATGTTTTACTGAGCATTAATAAAATATGTGGATTAATAATATGTCAATAGCCACAGGAAATAATTTGGTAAATCGAAAAATAGAATTAAGTTGCTTATAGAATAGAATAGAAATAGTTTTTTGTACGAAAAAAGAAAAGCCGCTAAATTAAAAGCTCTAAATAATCCTAGCGAAGACAATCTGGAATACTTCCGAATCTCAAAGAACGAAACGACAAAATTGCTCAAAAATAAAAAAAGGGAGTATCTTAAAAATAAAATAATTGAAATAGAAACTAATAGAATCGAAAATAACGTAAGAGACATGTACAAAGGTATAAACAGATCACGTAAATATGTAGGGCCCGTAACGTCTGGAATTAGGGATGATAATAACAATATTCTGACCGATCCGGTTGATATATTGAATAAGTTTAAGGACCACTTTGACAATATTTTAAATACGGGAAATTATGATCTGTGTCCTCCTTCTGAGTACCAGAGTGCTGAACCGTTAATAGAAGGACCAAGTAAAGAGGAAGTTGAAGTAGCTATCGGAAAATTAAAATCATATAAAGCAGCGGGAATCGATAATATTCCTACTGAACTAATTAAGGCATGCGGGGAAGCTGGAGTTTCTAAAATACATCGGTTGGTTAAAAAGATCTGGGTGAACGAGAAATTACCTGAAGAATGGAAAGAATCTATTCTTATTCCGATTCACAAAAAGGGTCCGAGGATGGATTGCAATAACTATCGAGGAATTTCACTCCTTCCGGTATGTTATAAAATATTCACTTCAATCTTAACCAGTCGAATCACGGAATACGCCGAGGAAATTATCGGAGACTACCAATGCGGATTTAGACGGAATCGTTCGACTATTGATAAAATATTTTCTTTACGGCAAATATTAGAGAAAAATTTGGAGTATAACGGTATTGTTCACCAGCTGTATATAGATTTTAAAAAGGCTTACGATTCTATTGACCGCCAGAAACTGTATAATATTTTAATTGAGCAGGAGATTCCAAAAAAACTAGTAAATCTAGTCAGGATGTGCTTGACGGAGACACTCAATAAAGTTAGAATCGGTAATAATTTGTCCGAAAAATTTGAGGTTCGTTCGGGCTTAAAACATGGGGATTCTCTTTCGCCTGTCCTGTTCAATTTGGCATTAGAACATGCCATTAGGGAGGTAATGCGAACCGAGAAAGGGTTGGATCTGGGCGGGACAACATCCCTGCTGGGCTATGCTGATGATCTGATACTGTTAAGCGAAGACGTTGAAACTATAAAACTAAATACGACAACGTTAATGAAAGCCGGGAAAGAACTAGGACTTGAAATAAATGTGGATAAAACAAAATATATGGTTAGCTGCAAAAATGGCGATACTACTGGTGACATCGATATAGATGGTAATATGTTTGAACAGGTAGATAAATTTAGGTATCTAGGTTCAACGATAACTAGAAAAAACGAAATTGAAGAAGAGATTAAGGTTAGACTGAAGGCGGGAAATGCTTGTTATTTTTCTGTGACAAAACTACTTAGTTCGCGCCTCTTGTCCCGAAACTTAAAAATTAGAATCTATAAAACAATGATCTTGCCTACAGTTCTTTATGGATGCGAAACTTGGCCGCTTACATTAAGGGATGAGCAGCGTCTTAAGGTTTTTGAAAATAAAGTATTGCGTAGAATATTCGGACCGAAGAAGGATGAGTTAACCGGAGAGTTCAGACGGTTACACAACGCCGAATTGCGTGAGCTGTATCCGGGTAATATAATTGATGTAATTTCATCGCGGCGAATCAAATGGGCTTGTAAAGTTGTTGGGCTTAGTAACGAGAGAATTCCTAAAAGGTTAATATTTGCTGTGCCGAATGGTAAGCGTCCGAGGGGTAGACCGAAGCGAAGGTGGGAAGATTGCATTAAAGCCGATCTGAAGGGACTGGGTTTGGACGGCGAACGGTGGAGGGAGGTGTGTAACAAGCGATTGGTGGTGTCGGCATCGAACCTTCGGGTTCGCTAAGCCTTATTATTATTATTATTATTATAGAATAGAATCCTTGACCTAAATATTCTTTAAGATATTTTCCACTCTTCTCTATTCAAGGCTTGTTCTTCTATGATGCGATAACCTGCCAGGCTTTCTTCCACCGTTTCTTACACTTATTTCCTCTTAATTAATTCCTATTGACTTCTATTTATTCCTATTGACTTATTTCTTATGATCATATATATAAGGGTGGTCTGGAATGTTTCTGTTCTAACAAAAATACAAGACATTTTTTCTAACTTTTTTTTTTATTTGTCAACATTGTCTCCTTGTAACTCTACACACTTCTCCCAGTGATGCTCCCATCTCTGTAACCCATCCAAAAAGTGCTCGCCGTTTTTCTCTGCAAAATAATTGTTCATGAAGGTGATTGTCTCTTAATTTCACGACAATCTCTGTCCTCCAAGAGCAATTTTTAGATAAGGGAACTAAAAGAAATCGCTTGGAGCTATATCTGGTAATAAGGCGGATGGTCAGCAGTTTAAATCGTAAACAGGATGTTACAGGGTTAAGTGGCCAAACTGCAAAAATGAACTCAAAACAAGAAAAAAAATTTCCACTAATTGTATGTCCGCAAACGCTTTGTTTAGGAGATATTCACACCTAAAGATTTTTATTGTTATGAATTATTTACATTTTATGAAATAAATAAAACCTATTTATTTGTTCCAATTACTTTATTAATTAAGTGTTAACATTCATTAATGTGTATTCATGAATTAACATTCATATTGAATGATGTTCAAAGTGGTGAAGGTATGTCCGCAAATACTTTGTTTAGGAGATGGATTAGATAGAATACTAACATGGCCTTTTATCTCTAGCTGTATATATAGCATTGGGAACTCTCAATAACATTTATCAGTTTGTAAGTTGCTTTCTCAGAGTGATCATCATTATGCCTTCCATTTATACTAATGGTGAATATACCACACAAAAAGTCTATGCAAGTCTGGTCAATGACCTTAATTCTTTACGAAAAAGGATAATTGAATCTTCTGAAGCAATAACATATCCAGTGCCGTTCTGCCACCACTTTGATCACGAAATCACTTTGAACAACATTTAATATGAATTTAATGTTTACATTTAATTAATAAAGTAGTTGGAACAAATAAGGAAGTTTTATTTACTTGATATAATGTAAATACTCCATAACAATTAAAATCTTTAGGTGTGAATATCTCCTAAACATACCTTCTTAGGAATTTTTTTCTTGTTTTGTTTTCAGTTAGGCCACTTAAATTCTGTATATGAGCTATAAAAAAGTTCATATTAACAATGGGCTGATTTTCAGCAGTTAAATATAAAATTCAAGTTTTGTGTTTTTCTAAGTGTCACGTTTTTTTGGAATAGGAAGCATAACTAAAAAAATTCTTAATTTAAGTAGCTATCCATTACTTTATAGTAAACTAGACAAATTGAATTAAAATGAAAGTAGAATTTTTCATTGGTAAAACCATTTAAAGAGAATTGAGTGGCTAAACTAGGCTAAGTTCTGTTTTTAAAAAGATCATAAATTATTTGTGACTTTTTTTTTTTACATTTTCCAACTATACTACAGTTACTCCAGTTTTAGAATAGCTATACCCCGGTTGTAGAGTTTAATAAGCTGTAAGTCCATAGTGATTTAACTGGGGTTTATTAGATAATAAGTTGAGATTCTTAAGTTATGTTAAAAAATTATGTGATTTGGTATCTTGTCACCTAAAATTGCTTGTGTTTTCAGCAAAAATGACTACTATAAATTATTGCAAAGCTTTAATTTCTTTTATAGTTTTCCATGACCTAAGATATATTATAATAAACATAATCGCATTAATAAACTTTTCATTTCTAAAATTAAATATACCACTCCTTTTTTAGGTTGCTTCTTCAGAAAAGAAGCTATGCGTCATGGAGGTGGTTTTCTTCCTTTAATTTCGAAATATTTCAATATTACCTCCAAATACAGCTATTACTAATCGGACTTAAATATTAATTTAAGGTTTTAGCTCTTTATTATAACTTATCATTTAAAAAATAAATAAATTTACTAATTACTTAAATTATTTTCATGAAAACGTAAATATGAGAAACTTTTAGTTGATTACTTATTAATGCCGATCAATTCTATAATGATAGAGAACACAGTTTTAATTACTTTAGATGATAAATACTTGAAAAATCATTATTTTCAACATTTATTTTATAAATGAAGAAGTATTTATTGAATAACTACATTTCAGGTCATGGAAAAAAATTAAAGCTTTGCAATATTTTATAGTAGTAATTTTCGCTGAAAACATGGGAACTTATAGGTGACAGGATATCAAATCACATCATTTTTTTTACACAACTTGAGACAAATCTCAACTTATTTCCTAATAAAGCCTCAATATAATCATTATGAACTTAAAGCTTACTAAACAAGGATGTTATTCTAAAAGTGGGATGACCGTAGTATTGTTGGAGAATAGTAAGTTAAAGTCGTGAATAGTTTATGATTTTTTTAAAAACAAAACTTTGCGTAAAAAGTTTAGTCGCTCCAAAGTCTGGTTTACATGATTTTACCAATAACAAACTCTGCATTCGTTTTAAGTAAATTTTTGTCTTGTTTACTATGAAATAATTGTTAATTACTTAAATTAAGTATTTTTTAGTTACTGATTCCTATTCCACAGAAAATGTGACTTATATGGGAGATATTTTATCGATTTCCCTCAAGATGTAAATGATATTGTTATAAAACTGTAGCATCCTCTTAGATCTCTATCATTATTTACTGC